GTTTTCATGGAAAATAATAATATAAGAATCAACTCTGTGTTTTGCACACTCACTACTGTAAACCTGCTTTTGCCTACCCTGTAGATACCTGGGAGAGGAAAGAATAGGTCATGGAGGAGGCATGTGTGGTTTGCTGTAAAAGATACTGTCAGATCTTTTTCCAAAATGACTGTGCCTATGTATACACCCTCCAGCAGGAAACCAGAGCTCTGTGTGTTTTGTGATGCGTGCTCTCATTTGCTTGCTTTTATCCTCACCCGAGGATATGTTTATTGATTTGAGAGAAAGAAGAAACTTGGATGTGAGAAATATCAAACGGTTGCCTCTCGTTGTGTCCTGACCAGGAATCAAACCCACAATCTTTTTTGGTGTATGGGGCATGCTCCAACCAACAGAGCCACCCACCCAGGGCTAAGGAATTTAAATTTAAAAACTGAAGCAGTATAAAATGTTTTCTATTAAATATATTAAATACAACTTTTCCTTTTGATAGAATTATGTTTCACTTTAACCTATCTTACTATGAGCTTTTATTATGAATAATGATACATTTAATCAAATGCTTTTTCTACCTCTGTTGAGATAATCATATTATTTTACTTTAAGCAATGATGTTCTGAATTATATTGATTACATTTTTATATAGATTTGGAAATGTTAAATCATTACTGAGTTGTTGGGATAAACCCAACTTGGTCATAATCTATACTCCTTTATGTATCCACCGTATCAGATTTGCTAATTGTTTTTTGTAGTTTTACACATATGCACATGAGAGATACTGGTCTGAATTTTTTCCTTCTGGTATTATCTTGTCAGGTTCTGTCATCAAACTTAGGCTAGCTTCATAACACTAGTTGCAAAGTATTCTGTTTTTCTCTATTCTCGAAAGAGGTTTTTTTTTTTTTCTTTCTATTAACATTGGTATTATTTCTTTTTTAAACATTTGGACATAAACGAAGTCATCGGGCCTAGAATTATTTGGAGGGTGGTTTCTAAGTATGGATTCAGTCTCTCTAATAGCTATAATTACTCAGATTGTCTTTCTCCTTATGTTAGTTTTGATAAATCAAGTTTTTCAATAAATTTGTCCATTTTATCTAAATTTTGAAATTTGTTGTCATAAAATAGTTACTGTAGGATTTTTTTATTTCAAATATTGGTCACTTGAGTTTTCTTTATCTTTTTTCTTAGCCATTCTTCTTAAGTGGTTATCAATTTCATTTGTCTATTTGTCTTTTTAAAAATACAAAATGTTTCCATTTTATTTCTGCTTTGTCTATATTGTTTTTCATAATCTCTATTTATTTTAGTTTCTTTAGGCTCAATTGGTAGTTCTTTTTCTGGCTTCTTGAAATAGAACTTACAGTATTAATTCTCAATTTTTCTTTGGCATAATGTATATATTTAAAGCTCTATATTTCCTTCTACTCACAGTGTTAGCTGCATCTAGTTGTTTGGTTATGCCATTTTTAATCATCAGTTTAAATTTATTTTTAGTTCTTCTTTGGTCTATAGGTTGTTAGAAAAGCATTACTTCACCTGAGCTTTCCCGTCTGGCGATCTCATTTTGAAAATTTCTGGTGTTATTTTCTATTACTGATTCCTAGCTTAATCTCACAGTTGTCAGAATACATACTATGTATGACTTCAGGCCTTTGAATTTTGTTGATTCTTGCTTTATGGCTTGGCACAACATCAACTTAGTAAATGTGCCATGGGTTCTAGAAAAGAACAATGTGTATTCTCTCGTTCTTGGGGGGTGCTGTTCTACAAATGTGTTAGCTTAAATTTTCTGTGTCCTTACAGGTTGTCAACTGTATTTCCGACCAACTGGTTATAAACAGGGGTTCATCACAACCCCCCCCCCCCTTTGGTTAAATAATTTGTTGGAATGACATAGAATCAGAAACACTTACACTTGACCTGGCTGGTTTGGCTCAGTGGATAGAGCATCAACCTGCGGACTGAAGGGTCCCAGGTCAATTCTGGTCAAGGCCACATGCCCAGCTGTGGGCTTGATCCCCAATAGGGGGTGTGCAAGAGGCAGCCAATTAGTGACTCTCTCCCTCTCCCTTCCTCTCTGAAATCAATTAAAAATGTATTTATAAAAACAACACACTTACCAGTTTATTATAAATTATATAGTAAAGGCTACCGATGACCAGCCTGATGAAGAATTACAGAGGGTGAAGTCAGGAAGGCTCCCTGTGGAGTTGGGTGGACACCTCTAAGCGTGAGGATGGGGGAGATTAGGGTTAGGGTTAGGATTAGGCTGCTAGATTTTGTGGCTGTTACATTACACAGAGAGTCTAGGTTTTGTTTCTTCACTTGAAGAATATTAAGTAGGCAGTAAAGAATGAATGGAGGGGCAGCAAAGTACTTGCATGTCAATTTATCTCTCCCAGGCTTGTTTTTAAACGTCATCAGGTGAGTCTGTAATAACCTTTACTCTAGGGCTCGTTTATCCCTATTGCTAACGTGGGGCTCTCCGGTGGCCTCTATGAATGCCCCTGACCAGGGTGTGGGGGACGTGAACACTTCCCAGGCCTGCAAAAACTTTTGATATTACTTAGCCTGTAACTCCCCAGCAGCTTTTTGCCCGGCCTCATGCCATTTCCCATCTACATGTTAAGCAATAAACTAAAAGGCCTTCCGTGCTTATTTCTGAAGTTCTTTTTCTGCACATCTCCCGCCTCTCCAGTCCTCTCCCCACACATGCCAGCTGCCCAGCCTTCTGAAATGCTCATCTCCGTCTTTTCAGCCCAACGAGTCACACCTGTGCTCTGCTCAGGTCCTTCCTACCGGGCTGAGACCTGGAAGAAAGTGCCCCAGGGCAGAGGGAGCATTTGTGATCTAGAGCTGAACTCATTTGCTTCTGTTCTCACCTGTTTCACAGTTCAGCACTTCCCACGGTCCCACACCTAGAAACAGCTGCTTCATATACTTTGTCCTGACTTCTGGGGCTTGGTGGTGGGAGGTCAATCCCTGAATGAGTCCCCTGTTATAGCTAGAGTGAAACAATACTGCCAAGTTGTTGTTTTTTAAACTCTACAAATGATGAGTGAATGCCTGGAATGGATGGTTCTATGATGGAAGGGCATAAAGCGGAAGAGATGCAGAGGCACCTGTGTAACTTTGTGTAACTTTGCCAGAAGTTTAAGAAATGCATTCTATGTGGGAACATTTCCTACTCAAGTTCACAATGAAATTCCATGGGTATATTACATTTGTTTTCGAGAGTTAGAAAATGTTGTACCCTTAGGTTTATTATACGTTCTCCACTAAATGAAGGCAAATCAGGTAGGCTTACTAATATTGCAATATTGTTCATTTCGATCAATGAATGGTGAAGCAGCAGCTGTTGCTGATGCCAGTGACATTTATTTAAGCAGCTCCAGTGAACCAGGCACCGTGCTAGACCCTTCACGTTGATCATTTTCAACCTTGTAATTCAAATCTGCAAGTTAGAAAACCACGATTCCCCCAGCATGAAGGAGGTGAAGGAGAATTCCTCAGGCTCACGCGCTCAGCCTGAATGACCCAGGGGTGATTTATGTCCCAGGGGGAGAATCTCAGCTCACCAACAGCACTGCTTCCTCCCATGGCTGTGCTGCTCCCTGAGCCGTCTTCACCTGAGCTTTCCCGTCTGCAAAGGAAAGTGGAAAGCAGTTACCTCCCTCCCCAGAGAGGCTGTGTTATTCTATACATGATCTGCATTATTTTGCTTCAAATAACAGCATACAGTATGTAAATGTGCTCTTCCTGGAGGTTAAACTTATTTTTATTTTTTAGAACTTGGCCGCTCCCGCCAGGGTAAATAGTTGAACAACATGGAGAAAAAAAGGCAGTTTGAAGGGAATGTTTAGTCGGCCTGGGCTTGCCTCTCTGCCTTCCTCCCCGCCCAATCCATATTTCTATTCAGACGGAAGCTGCCGTGGCAGAGTAAAAATTAGTAAATTTCCTAGCACAGAGTCCTAGCAGGTCCTGCTATTCAGTGTCCAGAGTGCGTCCATCCAGATATTAACCGTGAACTCAGCATCAGGTGGACCTGGAGGGGCAGATGTCCTTGCTGAGAAGAATAAACGTCTCCTGTGGCACCAGGAAGACTTGATTGCATATGGTTCCCAGCCAGATCCCAAAGAGACTCTGGCGGGCACGGGCATGGGCTGCCTCTAACCATCTACCCCTCGCTCAGCGCTGGCCGTGTCCCCCTGGCTTCGGCTCTACTGTGGGCCCTGCGTTGCTGAGCCCTCCCTATCTTAAACTGCCTTCCCTGGCATTTGAATCATCACTTCGGTGATGTGATAATATCTGCGAGTTAGGAAAATAGAAGTGGCATTTGTTTAGCCATAATTAATGAAATATTTATGTTGCATGAGACTATGTGATAAAACCTTCGGCTTAGAGTCCTTTTGCTTCTGATTACATTTGGGATTTTTTTTTTCTATGACCAGACATTCTGACGCCAGCTCTTTTACACTGAGCAGATGTCATGTAGTAAAAATGGGTACCAGATGCTGTGAGCTGCAGAAAGGCGATTTGTTTAAGAGCTGGCTCTGACTTTTGTTGCATTCAATTACTCTGCAGAGCAAACCTTACACACAAGCATTTAGGTAACTCAGCTAACTTCGGGCAAGTATTTTAATAATAGATTTCGTCTCCGAACGCATTCAAGCAACACGCAGTATAAATGGTGTTTAAGGAATTAATTGATTCCTGCATAATACCTTTATTTTTGACGCGAAGAAAGAGCTGCAAAGCTCTTGGCAGGGACCCAGAAGTGTAATTAACGTGGAGGGCCAAATTTTCAATTGCCCTTAGGTGCTGCCTCCGCCTGCTCATGGCAGGTGCAGTGGGGGGTTGGGGGGCGCAGGGAGGGAGGGAAGCGGGGCAGAGTGGGGGGCCTGGGCAGGGTGGGGGGAGGGGAGAGGCAGCTTTGGGTCACGAAGTAAGAGGAGAAGCTGGGAGTTCAGTGAGTTCCTGTGTTCCCCCTGCAGGTCCCAAGCACGTCCCCATCAGGGCGCAGGTGACAGGGGCTGCCTCCTCCTCCACCACCTCCTCCTCGGCAGATGAAGAATCTGATCCCCAGCTTTCCTTGCGGTCAAAGGTAACAAACAACACTTGGCAAACCAAAGGGGGCCTAGGCTGGGGGGGCTGCTCACCCTGCAGACTTTAGACCCAATGTGGACTCCAGCTGCCGCAGTTTCCTCAGAAGGATCGCATTTCCTTGCATCTGACAGCAAGCGGCTCTTTCTACCTGGGGTACCTCAAGAATCATCTCTATTTTTTTGTTGTTGACTTTTATAGGCTTGCCTGCCTCAGAGATGTAAAATCGGGGAAGGGAAAACAAAACAGATGTATTTCCTTGAAACCATTTGGTGACTACAGCTCTTAAAAAGCGGGTTTCATTTGTGGTCCAAGAAGCAAACGATTGGAAAAATTACAGCAACCGGATGCATATTTCCCCAGTTGGGGGTGGCGGGGGGGGGAGAGGGAGCACAGCTTCATTTAAGCAGCAGACTGCATAGGAAATGTTACGTTTATTCTAATGAGACATGTGGAGGAGCCACGCAATTGCAGGTTAAGTAAGGATGCTCTGAGGGCCCCTGCTGTAGAAGGGACTGGTCGCTGGCCGGCTGGGGAGTTGACAGTCCTCCTTGCTGGATGGCGTTCATATTTCTGGAGGACACTGTAAACAGCTCCCATCCCCCCCGATTTAGAAAGTACAAACACTGTTATATCTCTTCAAAGGTTCCTGTGTGTCAGCCCACAGAGACACGCACCCCATGGCCACGGCTCACTGTTGTTTCTTACCCATGGGGCCAGAGCAGTTTCATAGGATCAGGATGCTAAACGGATGAACCTAAAATGCTTCCCAGGTGGACGCAGGCGCAGTGCATTGCTCTGTGTGTGTTTACTTTTTGAAGAGAGAGGATCTGAGGAGAAAGGGAGAGAACCAGATTTATTTATTTAGACTCAACTTTTCCATATCTGGCACTAGGTACTTTGGCATCATCTCAAGTCACTCAGGGGATCCATCTCCACAAGGCCCTGGCTGGAGCAAGTCAGGAGGGGGCTGGGGCATGGCATGAGTGTGAGAGATGAGAGAGAGAGAGGGAGAGAGAGAGAGGAGAGAGAGGAGAGAGAAAAAGGGAAAGAGAAAAAAGAGAGAAAGAGAGAGAGAGAGAGAGAGAGAGAGAGAGAGAGAGAGAGAGAGGAGAGAGAGAAGGAGAATGAGAGAATATGTATAGACTCTTAGTTTTGTAACTTGGGGCATCTCTGATTAGTTTGTTACTCAACACAAATGAATTCTGTGTGTGTGTGTGTGTTGATTTCTGGGGTTTCCTTTCCTCTTTTTGAGAGATCCAGAGTGTATTTCTGTACTCAAATGAGGCAGAGGCCCCAGCGTCAGCCATCCTGACACTCTCACATAGGAAGAAAGAATGGAGTGGCCCCACCACATCAAAATAGTAAGACTGTGATAGGCAGGGCAAGCCTTGCAGGTGGCTCCTGGTCCTCCTGCTGCTCCAGAACAGCGCCAGTCCTCCCTGACCGCTTCACCTGCCTCTGATGTGGCCGCTCTGACAGGAAGGGAAGCTGGCCAAGGGCTTCCTAAGGGCTCACAGTGAAGGAACAAGAGAAGTCCTCTCCCTGTTTCCCCCCCAATATAATATTTTTATTGATTTCAGAGTAGAAGGGAGAGGGAGAGAGAGATAGAAGCATCAATGATGAGAATCACTGATTGAACACCTGTCTCCTGCATACCTCCTACTGGAGATTGAGCCCAGGGATGTTCCCTGACCAGGAATTGAACTGTGACTTCCTGGTGCCTAGGTCAACGCTCAGTCACTGAGCCACACTGGCCAGGCACCCTCCCTCTCCCCCCCTCTGGTGTTTTATAATATGTCTTCTGTCCCATGCAGGTGTGTCCCCAGACGTGTGGCACAGAGTCTGTCAGCCCAAATGAAGCTTTGCATAGGAAACTGGAGACAGGATATGCACACTCCACCTCTCCCCTTTGCTCTGCCCTAAAACCAGTGACTGGATCCCAGGGACTGGGACCGGTAGCTGTCCTCATCCCGCTAGAGTTCTCCTTTCTCTGTCCTTTGTCTTTTTCTTCTTTATCTCTTCAACTCTTTCTTTTCCTCTCTGCAACCTCGTCACCATCACCAAGGGCATAAGAACTGTGCCTGGCATATCGTGAGACTACCTGGGTGTTAGCGAATCATCCTCATTTCTATGTCAACATCCGTTCATGAATAGCAGTACAGGACCTTCTTTCCTCTTCTAGGTTCTGCTTTGCAGATTCTTGATAAAGCCATGGGGTTTGGCAGCTTTGCTGCTGGGGAGGGCAGAGACGGTGTGATGCTGCCGAAGCTTCCTCCCTTGAAATTGTATGAAATGGTCTTAATTGAGGGGCAGACTTTGCCATTTCTATAAAGCAGGAGTCCCTGATAAAGCAGGAGTCCCTGATATGCCTGCACAGTATTTGGCACGGAAAAGGCGGAACAGATTATATGAAAATACAGATGCTGGACTCAGGTGACCCGGGCTTACCTTCCGGCTCTACCAATTACTAATTGTGTCATCTTGGGCAAGTTATTTAACGTCTCTGAGTTTTGATTTTTTTTAATCTGTAAAATAAGTCTCATTTGAGGGATGGATAATTAAGATGATACATGAGAGGTAATTAGTACAGTGTCTGGCACATAACAATTAGTAGTGGGATTTGTTATGTAGGGTAGGAGGTTGTAAGCTCCACAGAGGTTTGTTGAATAAATGCACCAACTCTCCATAGGTTGAGTGGGAAAGTCTCTGGATAACAATTACCAGTGATCTCCACACGCCCCTCCGCAGCCTTTCCAGTAAGGTCCTGGCTGCCTAAAAGAGGGGTTCCCCCACCCCAGTGTCCCAGAACCTCTGTTCAGAGAGATTGACAATCAGAAAGTTACCCCCTAGAAATAGAGATTTTATGATATGGAATAAGTTTGAGTTTTCAGAGCCAAAATTTCCTTCCGAGGATGAAGGAGAGCATGAGACTTTTAGGATTCTAGATCCTGAAGGGAATTCTATAAAAACCAAGTTTCATCATTGAGATCAATGTTGTCACTAGACATATATTCCCACCATCGCAGAGGTTCTTGGGTGTCACTGTTCCAGAAGGTAATCAGTGGTTCGGTTGCAGGGGGCAGAAGCCTATGACAGTGTTTTGTCAGCTTCAAACCATTTTCTCAGACATATTATTTTTTCTTCTCTGTTGGTTTTTATAGGAGAGGAAGACACTTAGAAGAAGAAGGAAGTTGGAGAAAGCAACAAAACAACTGGTTAAGCAAGAAGAATTAAAAAGACTTCATAAAGCTCAGGTCAGGAACACTTGATATGATTGAGTGGGCCTGGGTCCTTGGGAATCAGAAAGCCCATTGGAAGTCGGGATTGCAGTGGGGAGGTGGGCTGGAGAAAGGCTGGTTCCTCTTCTCTGAGGGACCAGGTTCCTGGCCCTTCTAAAGGCGCTGGCTCAAACCCTGGTGCAACTCTGGGGCCTGGAGAGCCCTAGTGCTAACCTGGCCCATCAACAGCAGCCTTTCCATCTGCAGACACACTTCTAGCAAAAGAAGCCTGAAATGACAGCCAACACATGGCCGAGGGACCATCCCCGGCCTTGACTGCCTCATAGCGGTCTGTGAGGACACACCTTCCCTCAACTTGCTGCCAGTGTCTCTGCCGAACTGACAGCTATTAGGAGCTGTCTCTGTTGCAGAATCAGTTGAACAGCAGAAGCACCCAGCATTTTTATACAGGCTTCCTGGCCCACTGCAAACATTTCTTCCAAATGGATCTGCCCACCTCTGTCACAGAGCGGCAAAAGGAAGCCGACAGGCAAGGCATCCTCCATCTCCCTGAGGCCCCCAAAGCCAGCCTTCAAGAACAGTTAGGTTTTAGGACAAATGGACTTTGCATGGCCTCTCATATTAATCCATTGTACCTTCACATTCCTAACTCCAATTAGTCCCTTTATCTGGCCATGCCGTCCTGGAAGTTGTGTCTTACAAGGAGGAGATCATTTAGTCCAACCTCCTTTACCCTTCAAGGTCACTGACGTGGGAGCTGTCCCTGTCACCGGGTGGACAAGGAAAATTTCCACCAGCTTCCTCTGTCCACTCTCAGCTTCTAAAACAGGTTTCTTTGAAACATACCAACTTTCCTTTCTGAGAACAAGATAACATTTTTATAATATGGACTGGCAAGCTCAGCAATTTCCCCTTCTTATATTTTCACACCAATCAATAGGTGGCTATAGGAAAAGAATTACAATGGCCGTTAGATTCTTAATTTGCTTCTTTTTTTTAATCTTTGAGATTTTCATTCTTAATGTCTAAAGAATGACCACTATATTAGCCAAATTGGGTGGCCATAAAAAGCCACAGAATGGGTGGCTTAACAGAAATTCATCTCGCATGGTTCTGAAGGCTGGAAGTCCAAGCTCAAGGTGCCTTCAGGGTGGGTTTCTGGTGAGGACTCTCTTCCTGGCTTGTGGACAGCTGCCTTGCTATAGCCTCACATGGCCTTTATTTTCTGTGCACTTGTAGAGAGAGATAAATCTCTGGTATCTCTTCCTCTTCTGATTAGGATCCAGATCCATCAGATTAGGGCCCCACCTTCTTGACCTCATTTAATCTCATTCACCTCCTTTAAGGCCCTGTTTCCAAATATAGTCACTTTGGGAGTTAGAAATTCAACATATGAATGGGGGTGAGGGGGTGTCCATTTACTCCATAACAACCACATAGCCATAATTACAAAGTAATCAGTAATAAAGTTATTTAAGTGTTTTCTTTCCTTTTGCAATTCTACACCATGCCAGCAAGAGACCGATTTATAAAGATATAATTACCTTTAAAAGAGAGGCAGAGAGGAAGGGGGCATGAAATTACAAGTTGTTTAAGATATAATTCCCACCTATTCCATATTTTATGTTTGGGGCTTAAACACTCTTCGTTGGCACAGAGAGGAGCCAGGTGGCTATTCAGGCCTCTTCAGGGGATTGGAGTTGCTTTGGCAATTGTACCCCTAAATCTAGGGGAGACTTAGAAAGACGCAGAGTTAAGGAGGAAAGGGAGTGAGACAAAGTTGGAGTGAGATACAGAAGGAAGAACACACCCATACTACCTGCCCCAACAGCGGCTGGGTCCTTCAATATACCTGGTCTGCCAGGTGCCAAGTCCATTCTACCAAGAGATGTGCCTTTGGCAGCATGGTATCTGAAAACAGAGAAAACGATGAATGAGCAAAATGGACAGAGGACAGACTCTTTCCTCATTTTCCTTCCTAATAATCCACAGGAGAAAGAAAGATCTAGTAGGGAAAGTAAACATGAAAATGCAAACCCACTCATGACCCGAAACCATACTATTGAATAGGTGCCAATGGTGAGTCTAAGGAGGGTGTGAGGTTATCCCTTAGCAGGATACACATCTGGGGTCTTAATAACTTGCTGGTAATAACACTACCATACACTTCCACAGTAATGGGCCCCAGGCATTGACCCAGCCCCTTGGGGCAGTGAAGGAGTGGGTACAGTCTGAGCTGAGGACTGGAGCCAGGCGGTCGGAGAAAGGAACACCCAGCCCCAGGAGTTGGCTCAGGTCTCCTGCTCCAGAACAATTTCTTGGAAGGATCTTCCGGTTCTTCTGAGGAGAATAGACTGTGAGCGTGCTCTGTGTTTGCCCCAGGGCCCCTGTCCTACTCAGAGTCATGGTTCTTGGTGAGCAGAGTCACAGGCTGAGGCTCCAAGGAGTCCGGGAGCCGGGAGGACCACCCACCTGGCCCCGCGGCCTCGCCTGAGAGCGTGTCTGTGTGATTGGCCTGGTCAAGGGGGACTATTTTAGCATCTATTTGGGGGCAAACTGAGCTTACATACAGACTCCTTGCTTTATGGCTTCACGCTAAAGAAAGGAAATGCCAAGTTCTAGTTGTTGGGGAACTCAGACGTCCTGACCCAGCGAATCAAGGAGGTGACATCACGTGGGGAAGGGCTTCTTTCTCTTGAAAAGGCAGTGGCAGCATTGGCCCCTCTTGTGGCTCTGTGTGCGGGTCCCATGTGACATGAAACCCTGGCATTGCAGGCCATCCAGAGGCAGCTGGAGGAGGTGGAGGAGCGGCAGAGGGCCTCCGAGATCCAGGGCGTGAGGCTGGAGAAGGCGCTCAGAGGAGAAGCAGGTAGGCATCCCACCAGGTCCACAGCGGCGGCCCCGCCCGTGGCTGTGGTCTGAGAACAGTGCTGGCCTCCCCGTCTGGGCAAAGCAGGGAGACGTGTCATCCTCTGGCTCTGTCAACACCGACACAACGCGAAATCTGCAGCTGCTTCACACTTTCATAGTCAACGTGACGGTTTGAAATTCCTAGGGGCGCTGGTAGACCTGTGGGCCTTGTCCCTGGGTTTCTGGTCTGCCCAGTTCTCTGCTACTGTGAATGCTCTTTGCAATTCAAGGTTTAGCATAGATTCGGGAGAACTGTTTGGGCATTCAAGCAATGTTGGTAGTGATTCAAAGGCTGGACGTAAAGTAAAAATCCTTGTTTCTCCCTTTACTCACTGCATGACCTTAGGCCAGTCATGTTTTAAATTTTTAAGAACTTTCTCTCCTCTAAAATGGAGATAATAGTGGTTTCTAACCTTATAGAGCTGATGTAAGCATTAAAGAAGAATTTTTACATATATATGGATATGTATAAATATCTCTGTGTATATGTGTATATATACATTTATATATGTATATATGCATATACATTTACATTTATACACACATATATATACATACACACACACACACATATATATATAAATGTGTATCTACACACACACACACACACACAAAAAAAAAATTAGCACACTGCCTGGCACAGGTAAAACGCTAAATGGTAACCATTCTACCGATAGCTTCAGACTCTCAGATCCAAACAGAATTCATCTGGTGAAGTCCTGTTATTGCTGGACATGAGACAGCGGGTCTAAAATGATGACTAGAACACAGTTTCTGCCTCTGAGAGAGCCTTACAGTTCACTAGGACACATACCTTTGAGAAATAAACCACCATCCAGGAGGACCGATGCTGTGTTAGGGACAAGCATCAGGGTGCATGGGCACAGGAGCAAGAGGTTCCTAACTGGTCCTGGGAGAGAGACGGTCGGTCAGGCTAGGCTTCCCGGAAGCCGTGGCCTGTCAAGATGAGAACCAGAGGAGGGAGGAGCTCACCAATGAGGCGAGGAGACTGCTCTGGCAGAGGGAGCAGCACCTGCAAAGGCCAGATGTGAAAAGACGTGGATGCTTTAATGAAAGAGGGGCCGGGGAAGGGTTCTGGGGTGAGGGATGACTTAAAGAAATACACGTGTTTTTCAAAACCACCCAGCATCTGTGTGGGTAGTGAATTGGGCAGGGATGGGGGTGGTGGGGTGGTGGGGGGTGGGATGGGTCTTAGGGTTTGTGGGAAGTATTGTTTGTCTCTCTAGCTTTGTGACTTGATGTCTTTAGCCTTTTATATTTTGGATATAAAGTGTGAAAAACCAAATGCTGGAAACACATCTCTCTCTGTGTAACCATGAAAATGTGTTACTGATTAAACAACATAGCAAAAGCTTAGGGTTTCAATTCTCTTAAAACTTCAATTATTTGAGAGTGATGATACTAGCAGGGGCAGACCTAGATCTTGTGAGGCCTGAAGCTCATATAAAGTCATGCCCACAAAATTGTGAGAGCTGCTCCCTGAGCCTCGTGAGGGGCCATCCAAGTGAGGGGCCCTGGGGTTCCAGCCTTAGTGTTAACTGTACGGCTCGTGTGTCCTTGGTTAACAGGGAAATGCTGGAGTCAGAGTTTAACCCCCCCCCCATGCCTCAGTTTCCTTGTTTGTAAAGTAAGAGTGATGATTATATCTGTTTCTTGGATTGTGGTGAGGAGGATGGGCTAAAACAGTTAATCTGGAAGCCCTAGCATAGGGCCTGCCTATGGGATAGATGGCATAATTGATGAATAAATATGTGTTCCTGTTCTTACTAAAATACACTATGCACGTCCTTGTAAAGGAAGCCCGAATCCACTCATCAGAAGTAGCTTTCATTACCAAAATGATACCCATTTCCTTCCGCTTGGAGTGAGGGTCACTGCCTCTGGTGCTTTTCTTTAGGAATCCACTGATTTCGGGGAGAACCTTAGAAATAAACGAGATAAACTAGCAACGCCAGGGCATGCTTCCGTTTGCTGGGGAGGCACTGTGGTGCAGTGGGGCAGGGAGAATTATAGGCATCAGAGAGCGCTGGGTTCAAATCCTGTCCCGTTGCATTCAGGCTGTGTCGTCCTAGGAAAATCACTTAACCTCTCTGGTCCCATATTGCTTATCTGAAAAATGGATCTAATAGTCCCCACATTACCAGGTTGTTTTGAGAATTAAGTGTCTTGGTGGGCAAAGTGTCCCCCAGAGTGTGGGCAACAAATGCTACTTGATATTACTTTACAAAATATTGATATCCACATACATACACTGTTAAAGAAATCACTCTCTATTCTTTGCTGCTTGAGATTTATATTCTAGAAACCAATATTTTAACACTTCTTAAAAATCTCCCCATTTCAAGTTATCAGCTTAAGAAACCCTGATGATGCCTGTGGTGTTGTCCAAGGTACGCTAACCTGGCCAGAAGATGGATGCCATTCCTTCTCTTTATATTTCTGGTAATTTAATCTCCCTGTTACGTTTTATGAGCCTTTTCCTTTTTGATTGTCTTTGTGTGGACGACAGATGCAAACCAACCGGGGGCTAAAGACTAAGAGTCAAGGCATGGAGCGCGGCCCCAAAGGAAGCCATATGGAAGATTTGCAAACCAGGCATCGAAATTAATACACCCCTAACTTGTAATAACATTTGTGCAATAATAATGTTCCTTTACAGTTTAATATTCTATTCAGCCCCTTTAAGAGATTGCCCGGGTGCTTAATGAATGACCGATCCTTATTAGGTTAAATTGTATTTGAGCTGGCCTGTGCTGCTCTGGTTCAAGTAATGTAATGGGAATTATTTAATAGGTATTATTAGGATAATTAGAAAATGATCACAGGGAGGCAATAATATTGAGCTATAAAGGTTGTGAATAACCAAATTTAGAGACAGGCCTGAAAACATGAGTAGTCTGCGACAGTTACGCAAGCCTCCTCTAATGATTATGCGCTCCCGCCTGAAAGGGTCTTTTGTTCCTGGGAGTTATTCATTAGGCAGGCATTGAATTAGTGGAACATGCATGCGGGGGTGCAGGACGGATGGCGATGATGGCTGAAGAGCAAAATGAGGCTTTGATGAGCTCCTAATTGTCGCGACAACAATTCCTGCTTTCTTTTTTTCCCAACAGTCAGAAATATGCTTCCCCACCTCCAGGAGGGGGTTTTCCCCATTTTGTCAAGGAGGGGAAAACAAAGAGAAACAAACATCTAAGAATCCACCCCAGAAGACAAGTCATTATGTTCTATAGAATGTGTGTGTGTGTGTGTGTGTGTGTGTGTGTGTGTGTGTGTGTGTGTGTGTGAGTGAGTGATTGTAATAGATGGGTGTCCTTGACAAAGGGGAATGGATTCCCCTGGTGGTCCTGGCTGCCCAGAGAAAAGGACACTTGTGTCCTGACTGCGCTGGGCCCTACCTTCTGTAAGGAGGCCAAGCCAACCTTTGCCAGCCACTCAGGTTCTTCTTACTCAGGGCCCTGCTACCTAAGGGCTTGTTGGTTGTCAGCACAGCGGTCAGTATTATGTGCTGGGGTCATGGAATATCCCAGTGTTGCAAGAGACCATCCTTCACGTTTAGATGGTCTGGATGACAGGATATGTTCTTTCTTTTAGTGCCTTGGGACAGGTGAAATCTGGTGAAAACTGCAAATGATGTAGAAGAAGAAAGGATGTACCCCCAAGAGAGGTGGATGGGAATTAGTCCTCTCTTTTAAGCTCACCAGCTTCTGGGAAGGTTTACCAGCTGGTTGTCTGCATTGAGCTTCTTGCCTTTTTTTTTTTTTTTTTTTTTCTTGCCAGATGGCTTTTTCATTATATAGACTTATAGAGGGATTTGCAAAGAAAACATCAGGATTACCAGTCTGCCAGCAGGTGGCAGTAGGCACACACATGATGATGAGAACTTGGAATGAAAACCTAGCCAGGAAGAGGGAAGTAGTTTGGCATATACTCTGTGGTTTTTATCTTGACCGTGGCCATGGAACAGGAAGAAGAATAATTTATTGGATAATGTAATGGTGAGGTGTCCTAAAAAGAACAGAGATATTAGAGTCAGATGCCCCTGTGTTTGAATCCTGATGCCATTCATAGAGAGTGGCAAGAAATAAGACTCCAAGGTAGATGGCTAAGGAAGCAAGGAATTTGAATTGGTTTGCCACAACTCTGTGATTCAATTAAAGTGGGACACTCCTGAGTTTGAATCGCAAAGTGATCATCATATGACAATTACCTCTTTGCGAAACTTTCTTATCTGTAAAATGGACTAATGATACCAACCTTATAGGGTTAGTATGAAGAAAAGACTAAATAAAATAATGTTAGTAAAGCACCTAAAAGAACTGCCTGGTATATAATAGATTTTCAGAAAAGTTAATTCCTACTTTTTCTATTCTTTCTTTCCATTCTCTTTTTTCCCCTTAATACCTTCACCTTTTTCATCCAACCTCTCTCCCTCTGACAGCTCTCAATCTATGCTCTATATCTATGAGTCTGTTTTCTATTTTGTTAGTTTATTTTGTTCATTCGGGTCCACATATGAGTGAAATAATACTGTACTTGTTTTTCTCTGACTGGCTTATTTCACTTAGCATAATACCTTCCAGATCCATCCACGCTGTTGCAAAAGGTAAGGTTCCTTCTTTTTCATGACTGACTAGTACTCCCTTGGGTAAATGTGCCACAGCTTTCTTATCCACTCATCTACTGATGGGCACATGGGCTGCTTCCAAATAATGCTGCAATGAACATACCTCTTCTTTGCTTTCATATTCGTATCATTATAAAAACATAGCTGGATGGTCAATAATTTCTCATATTTATTATTTGTTCAATTGTTCATATTCATTTAAAACCACACTCCCTAGAAGACATTAAACTAGTTTCTATAAAAATATATAATACATGAATTTCCCATGTCTGGTTCATATTAGGATCTCAATGTAGACTCATGCTATTGCC